TTCTGCGGGGTATGGGTGGGAGGAAGGAATATATAAAAAGACCTTTTATGGTACAAGCACGAGTTTGGGCTTTATTTTGTAGATGACTGAAAGCCACCAACGGATTTAAAGCTAAGATGACACGATCAGATTTTGTTTCTGAAACACTCCATCACAGCAGTGGTGAGAAGAGGACGAAGGTGGTGACCAAAAAAGCAGAAGATTAGACCAGCAAGGAAGGTACTGAAATAGCTTCAAAATGAATTTGAAAGCAGTGATGGTACAAGTGGGCTTAGAAGAAATATAAAGGTTAAAAAGAAAAGACATTGGATGTGAAAACTGAAGTAAAGACAGGAAGCGTCCAAGACTCAAGCTTTTAGCTGGCCAAGTAGCTGAGTAGAAAACAAAGGCATTCAGCAAGATGTCAGTCTTCAAATATTTACTATGCGCTCGCTATATGCAGAGAACTGTTCTAGGCTCTGGGAATTCAGCTATCAACAAGCCGAAGGTTTGCCCTAAAATAATTTACCCTAGGAGAGTAGAAAAGTAAACCAAATAGAAAAATAAATTGCTGTAAGTAGTAAGAAGGAAATAAGGAGCTTCCAGAAAAATAGCAGGATTCAACTTTGATTAAGGTAGTCAAGAAGGACTCTCTGAGCTCTTATGTTTTATTTAATTTAAAACATAAAGGATATGAAAAAAACCAGCCTGTGATGAATGTATGTACATTTCTGCTTTTCTCTTGGGGACAGGCAAGTGTTCCAGGCAGAGCAAAGAGCAGCTGTGAATGCCTTGCAGTGACAAAGTGCTTGATAGCTAGAAGACTGGTTGGCTGAGGCAGTGATGAGCTGCGGAGGGTGGTGGACAAGGACTTTGCAGGGGCCAGAACACATGGGTTTGAAAGCTGCGCTGATGAGAAAGGAACTGCTTAATGGTAAGACGGACAGGAGAGGGACAGAAATAACTAGAAAAATGGCCTAAAGATCCTGAGTACTAGGGGAGGAAGTGAGTTGCCTCCATTTTACAAAATGAGATGTTGGGTTCATTTTTAAGCAGACTGGTTTTATACTAGAAAGGTGAGAAGTTCGTATCTAACGACTTCTATTTTCTTAAGTATAAACAAAGACATGACCTGAATGATAGTGGGGGAACCTGTTATTAGAGGCATGATGGGAGAATGAAAGTGCAAAACAGTCATTTGGGAAGTGGGACCTTAGAGAGTTCCAACTAATAGGGAAGGGGGTTGTTGGCAGTGTCAGTTTGCTACTTTGAGGTTGAACTCATGAGTATGATGTGGAGCCACAGGGCCTTGTTGCAAACTCTCTCCAGCTGCTCAGTAAAGGCACAAGGAATGTAGGTAACAGAGTTCACCTTGGCTAAGGCTTTTGCTAGGCCCACTACATTTGCAAAGTAAGTCAACCACAACCTTCAGTGAGTACTGTTTCAATGGACTGCGTTTGGAAACCACATCAGAGTGGACATCAGTAACTTCCATTTAGAAGTGAATGAACTTAGAGGCATGAACTGTTAATGCCCCTTTCAACAGTGTTGTTATGGAGAAGAGCAGGACAAGAAAACAGAAGGCAAAAGTGGTTAATAAAGAGAATTTTCTATTACACGTAGTGTGGTATTTAGCTCTTGGTCCCCATGTCACGACACCTGAGATGAACAGAAGGTTTATTATGGCTCATGGTTTTAGGGTACAGTCCATTATGAGGTGGACTCACTGCTCTTAGGCTTTCGGTGGGGGTGCTGGAGGGCAAAAACATGGAGTGTGTGTGGTAGTGTAAACGGCTTACCTCATAGCCAGGAAGCAAAATAGAAATAGGAAAGAGCCAGGGTCTCTTTGAGGACACATTCCCCATGACACCCAAGGACTTCCCATTAGCTCTCACCTCCTAATGGTACTATGACTTCCCAGTAGTGCCACACTGGGAACCAAGCCTTTAAAACATAGGGGACACTGAATATCCAAACCATAGCACATGCTAGTAGGTAAGATTAGGGGACAGTAAGAAATTAATGGCATAAGAAAGCAGAGGCCTAATAAACAGGTCAGTCTGTGTGGACATAGAAAAGATGGAACTAGGAAAACAGAAATAACTGCCTTAAACAGGAGGAAGGGTAAGGTAAAGCTATAAAAATATCATTGACAACAAGAATTGCTAACATCTATTGTTTATTTGTGCCAGGTACTACTGTAAAGGATTTACATGGCCTGCTTTATAACAACCCTATATGCTAAGAAAGATTAAGTAGCTTGTTTAAGACTATCCAGATAGGGAGTGGCAGGTCCAGGATTTGAGCCCAGGCACTACTATTCTAGATCCCTAGTCCTTAACCTTTATATTATACTGTAGTTGGGAAGAATGAAGTTGGAAAGTTCACACCTATTAGCCTTCATTGCTTTGCAATTTTGGAGAAAAGATCATCTGGGAAATAGCCTTCGGGTAGAGGATAAAGAAAAACGCTAAGGTTTTGAAATAACCTCTTACAGGAATGTGAAAGAAGCTCCCCAGAGCACTGCTATGCGGTGTTCAGAGGCTAGGGATAGGACAGTATAATATTTGCAGAGACACCAATTCATGTAGTTGAGTAATCCCTTCTTCCTTTCGGTTCTCAGTAGCCTGGGTGAGAGGCATTCAGGCAAAGGCACTACTCACCTGTCATACAGTGAAGAACACCTTCTGATAGAGGCCATACAGAGGGAACTGTGATAGTTAATTGTGGTATCAACTTCAATAAGAAATTCCTAGCAGACTGTTTGGGAGATGTTCAGATGACTGGTTTATTGAAGACAGAAGACCCACCCTGGGTGTGGGTGGTACTGACAAACAGGCTTGTAGCCCAGATGTAATAAAAAGGGAAAGAAGAAGGAAGTCTTGCTTCTGCTTCTTCAGAAGAGCTCCAGTCCTTGCCGTCACCTTTGGATGATATCTATTTTGTATTAAACCTGTTCCTCTAGTGAACCCTGACAAAGAACTCAGGAGCAGGAAAAGAAGTACGGTGAAAGAGTAGAAGTTGGGCAGGATGGCTATGTCTATGGGAATGGTTGCTATGGGGAGAGGAAAAGATTGATGGAATATTAAGGTCAAGACAACAGACATGGGATTTGAATGGCCTTATGATGTAGTAACATCAAATATCAAATATTTATTTGGGGTCACTATACACAGGGTACTGTGAGATGTTAAAATAAGAATAGAAATAGTTCCTGTCTGGTTTTTCTCCTCAGGTAAGCACAGCTTTCTGAAGGATAAAGAACATGCTCTTGCCAAGTTATACCCACCACAGTGCTTTACTCAATAAGTACTGGGTAAATTATTAAGAACACATCTCTCACATTAAGAAAAATCCTACATCAGAGGATTAGTTACAAACTGGGATCTTGAACACTAAATCAGACCCTCAGGAAGTGGTTTACTTTGTCTGTGTAGCGCTTATAATTTTAAAATCAAGGGATTTATACAAAACCTTTCCAGTTCCCACTCAAAACAGCAGAAATGGAGCTTGGGCCCATAATCCCATACTGTAAAAAAGGCTGAAGCTGTGCGCTGTCACCTCTTAAGACAGGGCAAAGGGTAGCCTTAGTTTTCTTTTTTTTTGGTCTCCCTCTAAAAACCTGGGCCAATCTAAATGGCTAGATTCCCAATAAAGCCCTACCTGAGTCACTGTTTGAAATTACCTTCACCTTAGCAATGATTCTACAACACGTTGCTTTTACTTTCCTCATCCCTCAGACATACCTGCCTAATAAAAAGCCTCAATAATCTGTTCTGAGATAAAGGATTAGAGTGTGGCAACCTCGACGGAGAAGTGGGCATGACCTGTTTATTACAAATTTCCAGGACTGGGCTGAGGATTTAGCTCAGCGGCAAAGCGCCTGCCTGGCAAGCGCAAGCTCATGAGTTCGATTCCTGGTACCGGAAGAAAAGACAAAAAAAAACCCAAAAAAACAAAAAAACCCCACAAAGTTCCAGGACACATGCGCAGATCAATTCCCAAAGTCCTGTGGTACCGATAAGAGAGTGCTATCTCCACTTGTAAGAACTCAAGCGTACACCTATTATCCACAGGACGGCCTAAACCTGAAGTCAGCCCCAGGAGTGGGAGACAAAAGCCACTGTGTTGCTTCCCGGTGGTCCGTGTCCACCCTGTACAGTGTATTTCTACTTTTAATTGCCCCACACTACTCTGCGGAGGATGTTTTCTTTTCCTACCTTTACTAAACGTAAAACCCCCTTTTTTTTGCGTTTGTTTTTGTTTAATTTCTTGTTCAAGACTTAGAATCTAAAAACACCTCTAGCAGAAATCCCCAGCACCCCCAAATCCTGTAACAGTCCTATACATCCAAGATCTCTTCCCACCCCACTGTCTATCCATTTTTGGAGTTCTCTTTGCTAACTGTGAAAAGTCGCTTATAAAAACAAGATAATGATTCAAATGCACAGAAGTAACATCTGCCAGGTGTTATTACTTTTTGGGACCTTCAGTCCTCAGAGTAACGAAAGGTCCTTTCTCTGCCCTTTATGCAGGGCTGACCATGGTATACTGAAACTATTTATCTAATTTGTCTAGCCTCGCTTTGTAGTTTAGGTTGGCCTGGAACGCACAGCGACGCTCCTGCACGCCCGCTTTAAGAAAGAATTTTATCTCATGACCTACGCTGGGGCAGGTAAGGTGCAACTCGAAAGGATACTGTAACTGAGTTACAGCAACGTTAGTAACAGCCAGGGCGCAGAAAGTAAACTTGAGGCGGTGAGGGTTCACTCCTCGGCCTGTTTTCCCATAAACACCCTCGTTAGTGGCCCAAACACTCTCCTCACTCCGTTATTTTCGGAGTTTGGCGCTCAGATCCCAGCAGCGAGCCCTCATCTGCATCCCGAGGCGTCGTGGCCGGGTCCGCTAAGTCTCCCGCTGCAGCACAAGGACCAGCGAGGCCCCGCCCCACGGCCCACGACCCCGCCCCGCTGCCCGGCTCGCGACCCGGGAATACTCGGCGTCCGGGGGCCCGCCCCTACCTGCGCTTCGCATCGCCGCGAGCAACAGTCTCCCTCCGGAGCGTGGCAGCCAGACATGGCCCAGAAGACAGTGGCCTGCTGTCTTCAAACTCCGCACAGCTCAGCACCTGGCACACTGCAAGGCCTCTCGCGCAATCAGGCGGCGCTAAGGGCAGCCCGGAGGCGGGGCGGATCGAGCAGGAGGCGGGGTCCGACAAGGCATTGCTGATTGGGAGAGTCCGTGGCGCGGCGGGCTGCTAGGAGGCGTGGCCAACAGGGTTGGAGGCGGTGCTAGGATAGCTCATCCGGGAGCCCTACAGGCCAGACGGGGAGGAGGCGTGGCCTGGAGGGACCTCGGAGCTGGAGATCAGGCAGTGCTGCGGGCAGCCTGAGGGAAGGCCGGGAAGATGGCGGCCTCCTGGAGGCTAGGATGTGACTCGTCTCTGCTGCGCTGTCTCTTGGGCTTCGCCAGCCGGCGAAGCACGGGGTTGGCGAAGGGCTCTGTTGGCTGCTCTGTTGGCCGTGGACCTAGCTGGAAATGGTTTCACAGCACACAGTGGCTGCGGGGTGAGTGCCCGAGACTCAGCCAATTTCCCAGTGTGGCTGAGCTGTGGGCCTGGGCCCTGGACTTCCTTGATTGACACTTTGCGTCCGGTGTGGAGGTGCCGGGTCTCCCAATTCCTTTCGCCCTCTCTCCTTGGTGTTTATTGACTTGGCTTCATGCATGCTGCGAAGGGTTGTCTTGTAAGCTGGGACGCTGGGACCCTGGCCTCTGATTTATATGGCTTCTTTGTGACCTTGCCTTGGAATTTGGGTTATTTGATGGGAATCGGGAGAGGTCTGTTTTAAAGGCTTTTCTCTCTGGCCCTTACATCACGTTTTAGGTTCGTTCATGTCGTCAAGCATATCTAGCCGAGAATAGCTACTCAAGGTTGCTTACATTTAGAATCTATGTTAGTTGTTTTTATTCAATTATTGGGAGCCTTCCTTATTGGGAGATCCAAGATTGTCGAGGCTGGTCGGATTTCGCCACTTGATGACATGGTAGTTTCCAAGACTTAATGTGTAAATACCTACAGCACCACAGACATAGGGACCAGGGGAATGTTCCAAGTAAAACATTCCCTTGAAAGAATGAAAACTTAGGGCAGGGATCATAGTAAGGTATTTATAGAAATTGCCTTAGTTCTTAATTACAGTACACTGTGTAAAATGGCATGTGTTTGGGTAGGAAATCAAGGTGCGAATGGGAGATGGATAATAAAACAAATTTTAGTGTGATTTATCTGCCTGTCGTCATTCTTGGCACTTCTCAGAATGAATTTTAGTCTAAAAGAGTATTTGTGGTGGGCATTGCCTCCTTCTTCTGAGTTGACTGAGGCTCGGCGGGAAGAAGGCTTACACAAAGTCACACAGTAAGATGAGTGCTTTAAGTTTGCTGAAGATTGAATGATGGAGATAATTTACTTTGGTCTCTTCTGTGTAATGTTTGATAAAATACTTCTTAGAGCAGTGGATCTTTAACAGCGTGTGTAATAGTGGCACTCTTGCATCTCCCAGTATATTAAATTGAACTTTCCTACAGCTCCCAAAGATTCTGTTTCAAATGGAGCTTGGGAACCTGCATTTTACAGAAAATCTTAGGTGAGTTTTGATGTTTTATTTCAGTGTTTGATGAAGTACACTTTCAGACACTGTGAGAAAATCATGGGATGTTAAAAGCTGGGTGATGGAAATAATCTAAGAGATTCTTCCTCTTGTTTGTAAAGGAACCTTTTGAGAATCTTTGAACGCTTCAGCCTGTTTATAAAAAAGAGCATATGTGGTTACATTAAAAAATGTGCATGGTTTCAGGGATTTTCTGATGTCTGATGTATCTTGACTTTTTACCTATTCCTCATCCTTTGCCTGCAGATACACGCCTGGAACAACTTGTCTAACTGAGCATCATCTGTAAGGGAGAGGGTACTAGATCTCAAGGCAAGGTGCATTACTTTCCTATCACTGCTGCCACAAACAAGGGGCTGAAAACCACACAGATTTACTATCTTAACAGTTTTTGAGATAAGAAGTCCAAAATGGATCTCAGTTGGTATCTAGCAGGGACTTTGTTCTTTTCAGGAGGCTCTAGGAGAATCTTTCTTTTCCAGTTTCTAAAGTGTTTTCAGAGTCTGGCTCATGGCTGCTTTCCATTTTTAAAGTCAGGAATGGCTGGGCTGGTATTTCTCATATTATATCTCTCTCCCCATTGCCTCCAGCCTTCCTTCTTCCAGAGGATCTTTTTGATAATCTAGGATGTTCTCCTCATCTCAAGAACAGTTGATTAGTAACCTTAATTCCATCATCAGTCTTAATTCTCTCCAGTCATGTAAAATAGGTTCTGGCTATTGAGGTGCAGACCTCCATGGGTGGTGGAGGGACATTATTCTACATGTAAAGTTGTGTTGTTGGATAGCCACCTCTTAAGTTATTTGGAAATTTTGGATTTCTTTTTTTGTAACACTGAGCCAAAATTTGTCTACTAACTTTCACCTGCAGGTTTTTGTTTTGCCATGAGAGTACACATGGCAGTCCTTGAACTGTTTTACAAAATATGAATTTACAATGGTGTTCTATTTTCTTTCTTTATACTCAGTTTTTCTGTAAACTAGGTAGAAATTGTAGTTACATAAAACTAAGCAATTATTTAGATAACCATAGATGTTATAAATACACTTACTGAATGATTGCCTCTTTCACACATCTGTCTAGGATTTAAGTGTTATTTGGAAGAACCTTTGCAGTTTTGGTTTCCTAAAAAGCATTTGTTCGTAGCATTTTTATGAACTGTACAGCATATGCCAAGTGCTTAGCACTTTCTAGGACTTTTTATTCACTTCTCATAACCTAGTATATTTGACATTATATGTACTTAATTGGATAAAAATGCTAAGGCTGAGAGAAATTAAGATCAGAGAATTTAAACCATACAACTATGATGTTAGAGAATTTAAAAGTATATGTTTATTGTGTTTTTAAAAATCCCCTAGTTTTTATTCTTTCAACTGAAGCATTTATTATTGAGAAGGCCTGTTGAATCATCACTTGTCTGATGTTATGTGAGTAAAGTAATGAACATCTATTAGATGCTAGGCTCATGGTAGCCAGTTTGGAAAATAGTTGGTCTTCTGACCAGAACAGATTCTCAGTATCCTGCTGTATGGCCCATTTGGGCATATTTAGCTCTGGATGTGTGATCCTAAACTTGGTATAGGCCTTAGCTCTAAGATATTTGTAGTCTGCTTGGGAGATTATTGTTATTTTGCTATCAGTGGCGTGTAGAGTAAACTCTGAGTGTTAACACACTCACACCAAGGCCATACATGCATGACTGTGCCATGGCAGTCCTTGAACTGGGCATCAAATGGGACAGTCATGCATGTATCACCAGTGGTTCTAGCCCGTGGGCACATGTTGAGGATGATAAGGAAGGACAGTAGTATATAGAAGAAGACATGGAAGCTCTTGCACATTGAAGGATAACAGAACCAAAGGCCCAAGGCCATAAGTGATATTTACAAAACTGACTTCACATTTGTGAATAGTTTTTCAGCCCACTGTAGGCAGTTAACTTTGAAGAGTTTATGTTGCTGCCCTTTTAGAGTAGGTTGTATGATTTGGAATTCAATAAGATGTTTATTATAATACATTGGTTTTAGAGTGTCTCTGAGGAATAACATTGAATTTTAAATCATATGCAAATAGAAAAATACATGGTTCAGTCTTGGCAGTGATTTCCCTAATATATAGTTACTGTATTGGCCTTGCATATTATAGGTATTAAACATATCTAGGGACGTGAGAAATACAGAAAGTTTTAAAAAGACACTAAGGTCTCCACTGGTAGTATGATTAACATTTGACAGCCAGTGAGCTGACCCACTTTATTTTAGAAGAAAATTAAATTTATTGATAACATTTAACATCTGGGCAACTATAGTCCAGATTTTTGTCTTCTCTTGAAAATTAGACCATACTCAAGTTACCTGGTGACATTTGTCTGAGACTGAGTAATCTCTCTTTTAAGGTAGGCAATTGCTTCCTGGTTTGCCACTATCCCTCCTACTCCCTATTCCTTCTCAGCCATCAAAGCTACATGTCCTTTGGTATTTGCCAACACCACTAGCAATTCTTAGCATGTACTCTGTTATGATTTTCCATGTGTCTTCCACAAATGCATGTGTTGGAAATTTAATTTCTAAATTCGTGTTGGTGATATTTGAAGGGTAAGGCCTTTGGAAGGTAATTAGGATTAGATGATGTCATGAGTATGGAGCCTCCATGAAGACATAAGTGGCTTTATAAGAAGAGGAAGAGAGATCCAGACCCTAGCTAGCCCACTTGCTCTGTCTTACCATGTGATGCCCTCTGCCATGTTATGATATTTTAAGGCCCTCACCAGATGCTGATGTTGTGGACTTCCTACCCTCCGGAACTGTGAGCTAAATAAACCTCTGTTCTTCATAAAGTATCTATTCTCAGATACTCAGTTAGAACAGAAGAAAATGGACTAAGGCACACTATTTTTGTAGAAAGCAGAAAACAAAAGATAGATCAAGAAAAATGGGGGAGAGGGACGGGGAGAGGAATGGGGGAGGGGTTCTTATCTAGTTAATAAGAAAATAAAGCCTGTCTCAGTCTAAAGAGAAAACCTGAAGATGTTAGCCCTCTCTTCTTACCTGCCGGTTTTCCAGGGAGCCTGAGTTTTTGACAGCAGTTCTGTAAAAAGGAAGCAACTTCTTTGATAGTAGAGTTACTGGTAAGATATTTCTGCCAGAATATGTGTTTCTTCTGCCCTGATATTGATGAGATGGATACGCTTTTTCAGATTCTCTTACAAATGTGGAAACAATATAGAATAGCCAAAATAAAATAGCATTTATTAAAGGGACACCCACCACAGATATAAAGTACTGCAGGTCCACGTGAGAACCATAAGGAATCTATCTGTTTCTTGTAAGGCTCCTATTGTTTGTTTTTTTCTTTCTGGTATACTTTGCTTTTTCTCTGTAATGTCTGTTTGCCTTGCCTTAATGCTGATTTAGGCCTTTTTGTTCAGCTGTTTTAGTTTAACTCAAATATTCACCATCATTTCTGCAGTTGAGTATCAAATTCATTGAAAAGAAAGGCTGATTGACCCAAGGTGTGGGTCAGGATACAAAAGAGCTAA